TTTACTTGATTAATATAACGGAAGACACCGTAAGCAGTAGCAAAAGCAGGGAGTACGCTAAAGCTAAATGAGAAAACACACTTCTCCATTACGGATTGCACATTGAGATGATGGCTGAGCTTATCCTGTTATATATTATGTTAAATATAGAATAGAGTGTTCGCGAATAAGCAAAGCAATTAGCTGAAGAAAAGCTCAACCTCAATCATGAGGACCAATTGTAAAAGATTGAAGACTTTAATGCCAGCAGCACGGCAGTTTTACCTTCGAATGTAGCCCTGAACATAGTAATGCAGGCCAAAGGTTGTCTCCGGCAAGTAAGCAATGACCAGCATAAAATAGCAAATACGAACCGCCATATGGAAACATAGTTGGTTCATAAATGTATTCGAACTTCGGTGTGAGTTCGCATTGAGATGAGAACAAATATCATCGTACTTGGATAAAGCTGAAATAATTATCGCTTGTGTATTCTTGGCAGTTTCTTTTACACTTGATCTTCATTAACGTACGTAATCTTTGGCTTTGTGTCGAGATATATAAACATGTTCAAGTTATTCACCATGCTCCATCTAAGTTAAGGTTGGAACCCAGGCTCCGGTTTTTGAAGCTGCGGATCTGTGAACATCCCGCAGAGGCTCCGTGCGATGAATGCAAAGTTTTGCTTCGAGGATCAACTGAGCTGGTCGCACAGAATTCACAGACAGTCAAGCAGGGCCTGCCGGCACCTAAAATTACTCGTCTGAATAGGATGTAACGCGATGCACCGAAAAGGGACAAGGAGGCTACTCTTGAATACGTAGCAAGGAATGAAGATGGGGAGAATGAACTCAGATTCAAAAGCTCAGAGCTGTCTGAATCGTCAACAGCGGCCGCCGTACAGAGTAAACGTGGATGTATCTGACTCGCTTTGCTGTAGGAGAAGTGATACCAGAAGGCTCAGAACGTCAGCGAATTGTAAGAGACACAAGTGAACAGAACGTAGTACTACCGACGATGTCATGTGTGGTTATGTAGTCTTATTGAATTTATTGGAAGAGTTTCCCTCGAATTGAAATTCATAGAATATGTTTTAATGGTACCACATTTAATATCGATACGTTTATGAATGAGTTGTCGTGTCTTCAAACGGAATATTATTTTCTTACTCGCGTCCTGCATCCTTGCCCACTAGGCTTGCTAGCCTTATTGACTATTAGAACGACTACAGTTGTGCCCTGTGGAGATATTAACAAGTGTAGGGAAATAATTATTAGGTCTTGGTAAAAACGAACTGTGAGGGTTAAATGCGTAAATCGCGAAACAGCACCTAAACTACAGTAAGGCTATAACTCAAGATAAAGTATTTATCTCACGTAACTGTTGATGATCGAGAAGGGACTGCTTCCTATTGAAAACAGGACCTGAAACCTATGCTCTTTTTCGGATTGATGCCACGCTTTGCTAGAAAAGAACCGCTGTATATAAACTCACAAAAGCAACGTTGATATTGAAATAGGATTAAAAAAAAACCCGCTTCGTTCAGAAGGGAAATGGTTAATTATGTTGCTTTAAAAACCCTTAACCCTTATGCATCATAACTTTCCATTTGCTTGATGTGTATCTGCTATGCTTCTGCCTTGGAAGGCCTTTAAAAATAAGGAACGACCGCTGAGCTTGATATTGTCAATGAAGGCAGCAGTGCGTTCATATGGGGATGCTCGATGTGGCATATGGTAGGTCTGCTCAGACCTTACAGTTACACTCATCCCCTTGCCGATAGTTTTTCTTCTTCGTAGGTACTTCGAGGTGAAGATCCTGCGATCACAGTGATAGTAGCTGCAGACGTGGCAAGAACGCAAGCAACGCTTGGTATTAGCTATCTTCGAAAGCAAGTACAATCCCAGTTGAAGGAGTCGTTTTGCTTGCCCAGCCATCGTGCAATAAATGTCTTACACCTAAACCTTTGATAAAAGGAAATCTTGTCACATAAATTACGAATTATATAAATCAGTCGATAAATCTTTTATGACTAAGATTTTCATAGGCCTGTTTATGAACGGACTTCATTCCATTGCAGCGATTACCTGAGCCTTGAATTATGACAGAATAACGTTTAATATCATTAACTTGAGATCGTGCCAGTGAACGCTAGCATTACGCTAGGGCTACCGTGTTATTAGCTAATCTGATTTTCAACGGGGAATATGAATCGACAGCCGATGAAACTTGTATAGTACGCATGTCCTTTGCTTTACCTCGTTGCTATTCCTCGTAACTACGAGTTCTAACTCTAAATTTAGGTCAGAAAACGAACGTTGAATAATTTTAGCTACAAAAGAGTAGCCACGCCCAACGAGTGTTACGACAATTATACGTAAAGTTAGCGTGAAACTGGATGTTACGGAAGCGGATTTGAACAAACTTTTTCGACACATTCGTTTATTGAATTTTAAAAAGTACCAAAAAATAATTCAGCTCTTCGCTCATATAGTGAGAAGACACTCTATCCGCAAATTAATGTAATAAATGAAATTAAATAAATAAATAAATAAAAATAAAACAAATAGTCAAAAGGCAAACTATGGTCTTTCTCTCAATGGCTGCAAAAAAGACTGGTTCGACAAAAAGCATAATATTTAGCTGCGTGAGACGAGCATGTAGCTCACGAGCTGTGAGAGATGAAAAAATATTATCGAGATAAACTGGCTTTTCGAAAAGGTTCATAACCAAATTCCCTATTGCAAATTTATGTCCCAGAACAGATACATATAGTCCAGGGAACGGTGAGGGTAGTTCATTTAAGTGCTTCGTAAGCAAGTATCTGCGTGCATCTATCTCTCTTTATAAGGATCAATTTCTAGAAACAACGGGAAGCCTTTTGGATAAAACCTCGTTTTCATCTCACAAGGGCCTGTGCAGCTGATGGACAAGAGATGTCGCTCCCCATGGAAATAATCAATCCTTCAGATGGTGCCATAGATTATAATTTACACATCAAGCTTAGAAGAAACATGTAGGCTCAACGCGCAATGAGGTTTTCCACGATACGAATGAACTCTAACGAACGAGCGAGCTTCCTGCATCCGACTGTAAATAGCCTGCAGCGCCCACTCGAAATAAAGCATTGTGCTGACTATGGGGAGGTGTTATCTAGATCGCAGATGAATGGCGTTTGCATGAAGCGTTGCAATGAAGCGATCTACCTTGTTGCGGACCTGTACGTGCACACCCGTGACTTACATACTGCAAATTCTATTCGTTCTACAGATAACTTAATATAGCGTCTGTGTTCGCTCGGTATACAACGTAGAGGGCATAGTTCGGGAAATGTACCGTAATGTATATGATATTGAGTGATGCTGATAGATCACGTTACATTAGTGGCCTCGTCGAGCCAGCGGCGTCATTACGGTTGTGTCATCGCGAGAAGACTACAACGAAACGTAGGTCTTTCTCTGCGTACATAGTTACAGAACATGGCTAATTTTCGAGAACGTAAGGAACATAGCTCGACCAGTGCTAGACAAAATTTAGTTTAGCAACCCGCCTTTACCATAATAATGTGCATTAACCCTTTCCTTACCCCAATGCTTCGTGGGCCCCATTTTTGACAGTATAAAAGTTTTATACTACTACAACTCAGTATTGGCGTACATGAGAAACGTTATAAATGATATTACTGTTGTTGGCTTCCCATTCGCCGGTAATATCCAAAGCACTCAGATACTCGTATCAGTACTAACGATCGTTAAACGCAAGATCAATTACGTTGTTAAGCAATTAAGCAGGGGCAACTCAGTATCGTCTTTATTCTTTTAGGGGTCTAACTCACTAAGAGCAGGCAGGAATCTCTGCTGGTCTTGCAATTAAGCTAGGCAGCACTTACCTCGAGCTGTCAAATAAATGAAACGATTTAAACAATTTTAAATTTAAAAAATAAGCTTCCTCTATTCGATTAGTAATTCTGGTGACTTCCCGGTTTATCTTTCCTTTCCATACTTGTGCAGATTCATTAATGCCTTCAAAGTTCTATGGTGATTTTTTTCTCCGTACCACTGTTCCGACAGCGAAGCACTCGCCATATGGGCATAATGATTATGATAGGGGCCTGCCAATGGGGCGCCGTGGGATAGTGAGCTAGACTGTAATTTCGTGTCCCGAAGAACGGTTTCGCACTTACTGTTGTATACGATAAATGCGAGTTGGATGCTACAAGGAGCGAAATTAATAGAAACGTCGCGGGAATCTTTCATCCTCATCGGTAATTCCTATTGTTAGTATGCTATTTTTTAGTATCGTACTTTTGCGTTTGTATCGGTTTTGAATCCATCTTGTTAAAATGTATCAGTTCATTTCCGGTTACGTGGTATCTCACAAAAATAATACATCATGCCCCGCTGAATAATATTGAATCTCTGTTCAATCCGATGCGTACAAACAAATGGTTGCTTGCCATGAGAGGCAAACGGTTCTAACTTAAGACAACTACGCACCTACTTGTACGAATTTGCTAAATCTAGAAATAACAAGCTTGTACGAATATTGGATCGAACCTAACAGAGGCAGAGAAACAAGTATGAAGCAGAGAGAGCTTCGAGGAGCGTTAAGCCCAGCTTTGGACAATACCTCGCTGTTGTGTAACGTGTATCAAGTGAAGAAGCGCAAGATGTAACGACAGCGAGTAAGTTTGGCTGCAAACGTGGACACGGTGCTAGCTTTGTGCGATCCTGCTAAAAGGAAAACGCATAGCAAGGCAAAATTTGAATTTATCTTTTCCCAAACATTTATCGCCTTTTCCATTCTACACCACACAATGCGTCTGACATCCCATCTCCACCCCACCCAATCCAGCCACTCGGCTCCCACATAGCAGCACTGCACAGCATACCCCTAATCTAGCTCATGCTCTTCTGCTTCCTTTGAGCGGCCGTATATCCTTTTTCAAAGAAAAAATCCTTCCTCACTCCAAAATCCTAGAATCGTTCTGCTACACGCACTCAAATAGAGAACGCTCTAACTTCTCAGGGTTTGTTCCGGCGCTTGGCCTCTTTTCTTCTTTCTCGGCAGACCAAAATAACTGTTTTAGCTGAGGGTTTAAGAGGATCGGGGTATCGCAAAATAATGGGATCAAGGGGTAAGGCACTCCTTTAGTGACAGCGGCAGCGTCTTGGCAAGTGCAAACAAGGCGAACAACGTTATGCTGGAACACGAGTGTATGAGAATGTAGGCCGGGTCATGGACGACAGTTGTTTGGTAGAGGGCTTGAGAAGCTCGGCATCTGTCTTCATTTCACTGGAGTCTGTCTACACTTTGCCTTTCCTTCAGCCATTTCGTCGTCTCCCAGCGCCTCCTGTTCTAAGTCGGGACAAAAACCAGATCCGTTGAATTTTGACTCGATAAGGAGGTCATGAGTCGAATACGTCACTCTTACTAGCTTCGAACAACTTCTCTTTTCGCTTGCTCAGTCGGATTTTAAGCCTGGTTACCCTGGCCGACAAGAAGGATGAGCGGACGAGGTGTCCACTGCCCCCCGCAAGTGTGGTTAAACATATTCTTAAATAAAATGTTCCGCCTTCGTACGTGAAAGCGATAAGCAACGGAATCATCTCCGTTCCGTCCATTGCCAGCGCCAATTGCTATACCGTTGATAATGCGTTCTCAAACCTTACCTGAACGTATATGCGCAACGAAACAAGTACAATGAAACCCTTTTTGTCGTGACGATACTAAATAGATGTTTTGCATTTTACGCCCGGTACTGGCGTTGCTTGAGAAACCTAAACGATACTACAGGTTTTCCTGCCCTGGTGCGTACGCACTGGACACACGAGGCCTGCAGACAGATAAAGAGGAAATTAATAGTGTTTTAGATGTTATTTTATATTTTACGTAATATTGATTTAAAATAGCCTTGACATTAACCAAACGAGACCGTAACGTTATAAACCATAACGAGCCGTTGTTTTGCAAAAGATACTTCATCGTGATCTCATTGTGAGCGTCTTCATTGAGCGTAACTGTATATAGTCGGGAAATAGTGCTGTATCTTCCCGTCGTTACGTTAGGAATATGGAAAGTATCGATAAGCCTAAACAGAGTCTGTATGAAAGACCAAAGGGGATACATCTTTATCTTGTTTGACATTTCTCCTTACAGATATCAGGATCAATTGTTACGCTGTATAGTATCGTTTCTCCTCACTTGTCCGTAATGTGACCACTCGAATGCTAGAAAAAAACCTAACCTATAAGCATTTTGCTTTTCTGGGCGTTTGTCTAATACTGATTTATTATGAAATCACATTACTAGATATGACCAGAAAATTTGTTAAGTCTCCTTCATATGGATGCAGGAATAACGCACCAAATTATTTGGTGTGGCAATAACAGTATGCAAGTACTAAACGCTACATAATAAACCACAAGAAAGAATGAAAGGGCAATTCAAATTTAATTTTAAGCTATTAAATTATTGGTAAGGTAATAAGGTAAATATAGAATTTGAAGGTAGCGTTGAGTGGCATGCATGCATGCTCGTTCATCGCATACTTTAATCAAGAGGGCAAACAATGTGCGATGCTGCAACAGTCAAACCATAGGGACTGATCTTTATATAGACGGAAATGCCTCCTTTAATGCCATATCTTTTATTCAGCTATCAAGGCCAGCGTGCTTCGAAGGCTTTTGGTTATTTTTACTACAGCGTCTTACTTACTATCGATTAAGCCTGTTTTTGGCCCGGTATTTTTCTAATCAGCGCAGTTGTGCAGGAGCTCACCTGGCTGAATCACTTAGCGCATGACTACCGTACTTACCAGGTTTCCTACTCAGACTCACACCCACCAAGCGGGGTTCTCTAGAGGCTATTTCATTTGGCACCGACCTGGGATGGCGCACTCACACTATTTATCCATATATTGATGATGATGTTACTGGTAAAATCCAGATATTGCTTGATCCCAACATGTTATATTATACATATATGATTGAAATGATAGGAAGGCCGTTTTCAGGCACATGAGAAACGGACGAGTATACAGCTTTCGTTTAACACTACGAAGCCCACAAATACGAATAGCAAATAGGTAATGGAGTAATTACTGTGTGTGGTGCGGACCGGTCTTGGCTTATGGGGCATGAAAAAATGCCATTATGTATGTAACTGATCAGGCAGAAGTTCAGATATTGGAATAGTATTTGTGTTAAATACTTAAGCTTTTAAAGCTACAATTGTTCCTCAGTGAGAAAATCTTCTAAAACTTTTGCGGATTAATTCTAAGTGACTACGCCAAGAACAAGACCATCTAGCTTTGATCGTCTTAAAATGAATTACGTTTAGTATGACTCTTCATCCATATTTTAATTGTTCACTGATGTACTTCAAAGTGACGCCATATGTATTCCAAACACTCTGCTCGTTTTCAGTAAGTGGCAACTACATAAACACGGCTGCTTTTACTTCTTGGCAAGATTTATGTTTACTAATCCAAATAAAATTTCGACAATATTGTATGTGCTCATTTCTAATAAAAACACGGACGAACTAGAGTAGCGTGTAGGGCGTCGCAACTTAATTTCGACAAAAAGTAAGGTGACCTTCAGAATGACCGATCAAAATTGAGAATTTTTTGTAGATCAATTTTTTATACTCTCCATAATTGTGTATAAGCTAACACATATTTTAACTAAACTTTGTGTTATTCATGAGGATCATGTTTATTCAATATACCCACTACCCACTGTGATTATAGCCCCAGCTCGAGACCCCTACTTCTAGCTAGTCATTTTCGTAGTGTTGACTCTTTATTACGCAACTAAATTTTTGAGAGAGAAAATTCAAAATTTGAAAAAAAGCGCAAAAAGTATTGAAAAGGCTAGTCAGCTAGAACTTATCTGTACAGTCCTCTGTGTCTGGAGTTCTACACCTTCAAACCTAGACCACAACGTGTCCCTAAAATTAGCAGGCAAATACGTTACCCGTTGAGCTTCCATGAGAACTGTGCGGTCCTATTAGGGATCAATACTCTTCTAGCTAAAACGGCCATTAGTTTCTACATCAAAAACTAAAATGTATCACAAATGCTCTTAAGCCGTGTTGGTCAATTTGCAAGTCTTTTAAATCTAAAGCCTACTGAGGATCTTCGATTTACTTAGGAGATTTAGCCTTGGATTTCTTCGAAAACGCATAAAAAGTGGTAATAACGTAGATTATCGATTTAAAGTGAAAAAAGAAATGTTGGAATTTTCTAGCGCAAAACTGGATAGTAACCCCCCAAAAAAATAACGCACTGTTGTTTGTCATAACGAACTTGTTGTTGTTACTTTCTTTTGATACAAAGAATCGCAGATGAATGCACACCTGCTACGTCATACAGCAAACATGTTTGTTCGAATTCAAATTTTCTACACTGCATTTAATGAAGTCCAGAGTAAATTGAAACACTTGATGTTTTAATTTTGTTTGTCAGTAAAAACAATGAATAAAGCCAAGTGCTTCTGCTTTGATCAGGGCTGAAGCTTTTCAGCATCGAAAACCCCCCTCGTTAAGAGTTCCCTTACTCTAGTGGTGCAATGAAGAGCGTTTAAAGCAATGAAGAACGACATGCACGCGAATGTACGCGGTCTCCTGGTATTATATTACTAACGTACATAATTCAAAACTATTGGTAATCGAACCCTATACGTCGTCATAGTGAGTCCTTCGTTGCGCGGCACAGTAGTACTCGATCCAAGAATATTTCTCCAGAAATGTTTGATTGTTATCTTCAATACACGGTACTCACATGAACGACTAATATGACGTATCCTTTAGGAGTTGACATACTTAGTCAAGTTCGAATAATCGATACGAATGGCTCGCACTCAAAGGGTTCTCTCTACTTCTGTTCTGCCTCGAAGGAATTATGTAATCATGCGTACCAGTTCTGCTATGTTTTTGCTCAACTGATTTAACTTAGTGCCGGCAAGTTAGTTATTCGATCTTGTGGAAAGCAGTGAACCTTTCTTTGGAAAGTCTAACAAAAACATGCCAACTTCCTTGTCGTCAGTGCAATAGATCTGTGTATGCGATCAGTCTGAGAGTCTTCGGACACAACTCAAAACTTCAACTATTAATTCAGATGTGAAATGGAGATTCGGTGGCTAAAAAGTATGTTAGAAGAACAGGGCAGTGAAAAGAGAAAATATGACTGACATAGCGTATACTCACAATGTGCTCAACCTTTCGTCTAGTAGGTGAATAAGAAAATCGACTGCGGTATAGTCTACCACATTGGTTTTACGCGTCAAACACTTACGACTGGCAATGTATACGATGGCCTGCATGCGCAGCAAACATTGAATACAAATAAAAACAAAATAGTGCTCGTATTTTACCGAAAACAATACTAAGAATAACTACGAAAAGAGAACTCAGGCTCAATTTCGAAATTAGTCTACTAGTTATAATGAGTGAACCTACAACCGAATACGTTTTCCCCATTAAAGTCAATAATTGTTCAATGGCTGATGTCACAGATTTTCGAACTTAAGTAATACATGTGCAACACGTCATATAGAAAAACCTAATTGTCACATCGACGGCACACGATCGAATATCATATATATATATATATATATATATTTGAGAAAACAATATCATGTCGATGCTTTTAGCGGTTTCACTTTCGAGATTAACTTACAGCCGTCAATTCTCTTTGGATTAATGCAGAAATCTGATTCGTCTGTGGTTCGCTTTTTCCGTTACAAATGAATCCTTCATGCTTATAAGACGGAACCCTTAGAGACGTCTCAATATAAAGCAAAATTTTCTTTAGACCAACTACGATTGTATTGAATGGACTCAACAAAGCGGAGGCATCTATTATGAAATTTTCTTTCCCCAATTATATATATCGATACGTATACATACGATAATATGTAGTAATTTTTACACTGATACGGTTAGTCAGTTCTTCAAACGCATAGTGTGCCAAAGGAGTGTGCTGTCCACAGTTGTCCGGTATCGCCGTTAGGCGTTCCATCAGACGACTGGCTCCAAACCCAAAACGAAGACAGCCTGTTTACTTATGCCCGGGTTTGAACCTAGACCTTAATCTGTTTTTAAACTTAGCAGCTACATACGTCACCCCCGAATCTAGAATAGCAAGTAAGAAAGAGCTTTCTAAGAGTAAATAACAACTACCCAAGGCTATTAGCGCTATCAAAGGCAGCCGTCTGCAACCCATGCGCTGTACTCATAGAGAAAAAGAGAAATATGAAGAGAAGGTTGCTTTTTCTCTTACGCTCGTGCCGCCGGTGGTGGACATGCTATGGCGCGCTCACCACGCATCACTGCATACTTGTTAGCCAAAATTATTTTCTGAGTACTTCAAACAATTCTAGTGGTATATGTGCGCGTGCGAGAATTGCGTGAGTCGACTAAACTTTAAACTAAAAGTTACGCTACCGGTAACATTCGACGCTACCCTCAGCCATTACTAGGGTCTAGAAAGCCTTTCAGATGATACTTTCTTTGTGTCTGACTTTGAAGTGCAACGTTGCACTTTACATCTACTCTGTCATTTGTAGGGCAATTCGTAACCATGGTAGACGCCTTAGCAGGACCCACTTAAACTGTGTAAGAACAAAGCGATTTTGCCTTGATATAAGCAGGCCAAATGTGTGTTATCGCATTATTTACTGACACGTCTGGAATTCATCATAAAAATTCAAGTTTTCTTTCCGGCATAACAGTTAAACTTCCATACTTTCGAGGAAGAGAGCAGCTCAAAGGTGATTGCACCGGATATGAGCAATGAAACTTACAATCAAGTTAAACATTCTTACTTTACTGTAAAGAACATAAAAGGCATGCATGCAGTTTCGCAAACACAGCAATTGAGCTAAGGTTTTGAGAAAAGACGAACAAAAGTCTAGTTCAATCTCAGAGACACGATAAATATCACCACTGGCGCAGGAAGCGGGGACTGTTAGGAGAAGGTTTGGCAGAATCAGGAAGAACAGGTAAGAGTACTCAGAACCTCATGACATCTTTCAAACTCAAACGATCTCGGGCGCGAGCAGTTGTGGATGGAGGACAAACACAGATACGAAAAGATGATTCACTATCGAACCTACCTGTCCAACTCAAATAGCAAATATCGGTTTGGAAAGTATAGCTGGGTGACTTGCATGGCTTGAATCCTATAGGTGTGTTTATAAAAGAAAAATGAAATAAGTTTAATTTTATAGTATCATTTATTACCGAACCCACGGGATATGCGAAAGCATATGCCCTTACGTCAGATTCAAGTTTGCCATCATAAAGCTTGTACAACAGCCACAACGGGGAGGGCAAACAATCTAAGTACCTCGGTTTTATGCGTTTGATGTCGAATGGCTTCACTCTTTTTATGCGTGTGTTATATGCTAACATGCAGTTATGCCGTTCATATTAATACACCGGTCAATATCTCTAGACTAGATCAATTTCGGTTTTATTTTTGTCCGGCAACAAAGGAAGCAAGGTGAAATGTTAGGCGACAATAAAAAAATCAAGGAAATTGATGTAGATGCAATAATTATTTAGCGCGCGAGTTATCTCTCTTAACCCACATCCTATGCGACTGTAATCTCAGATGTTCCCAGAATCTTCTGCTGCAAATAGCCTGAGCTAGAACTAAGCAACGCGCGAATAGCCCTTCTTAGCTTATTGACATCAGGGGCAGCATTAAAGAGAGCACATTCCTTCCTCTAATGGTCCTTTCGATAGGACGAATGCTCTTCCAGCCTTGTTAAGCACAGGCCTTGTTAAGTCATTACCCTGATGGTGTAGTCTACCTCAGATAGTAAGCGTAAGAAGCTGGAAGCAATATATTACACAAAACAAATGAGCTCCATGAAAGTCTGATCTAGATTAATTTATTAGTTAACATCTTAACTTTGTAAAACGGTATATGGCCATGTTCTTCGAGTCGTAATCGTCGGAATAAATATCAATCAAGTGGTCTAGTGAAGAGATCGAATCTTTCGTTTGAGCGATATCGTATTTTCGCATATGATCAACACCTATTATTGTTGTTATAGCTTTTCTAGGCTCTAGATTAAATAGTTACTTGGAAAATAAACGAATCAATGTGATACAGAACGTCACACATTGGCGACTTTACAATCGGTAAGTAGCATAACGCTCAGGTCGTTCTCGATAGGCATAACTTGAAGTGTTTGAGGAAGAACGTGACTGGCGTTGCGTTCAGCCGAAGTCGTGCGTACTGTCTTTTCGTTGAATTGATTTCTACAATGACGGTTACACGAATACTTCTGTTTTTATTCGTTTGCACATGCAGAAGTGATCTGATTGAGAAGTGAGACACGTCACGCGGAATAGGAAGACGATATTCTGACGCATGCGACGTGTTTGGCTTACTACAAAGACAGATGGGCAAAGGAGAATACGCGAAATTTTATTTCTGAGAACAACGAGACGTGTGAGAAGACTGCCAGCTGGTTGAGAGTAGAAGTTCGTAGGTAATCTGTCAGCTCGATCTTTGTCTTGCAGTTGGCGATCGCCTATTACGAAACAAAAACAAACGCATTGCAGTTTCGGTGCTTCACCCGGCAGCTGCAGGCCTCGTTCCAGAAACTAAGGGCATTTAGGACAATTTGAATACGTGGATAACTTTTGTTCACTCAGGTTAATTAGAAAAAAATGCTTATACATGCTAGTGAACGGATACTCTAGGAATAGAAGAGCATACAGAGTGTCACACGGCTCCGAAATGGGACAAAATACAGCACCCTTTTCATTTTTTAGTTATACTAGAGAACTATTATATTGTACGTGATCACTCTGCAGGCGGTGGTTGTTTTACGCAAGTGTCAATTTTAGCCCTTAGCGACACTTCTCCTTTTTTGCGCTCATTTATTGATAGAATGATGCGAGATATATCTAGCAAAATTTTGAAGTCCAGTTCTATAGCCATTGTTATCATCACAAACAATAGTGTCTCTCGAAGTCAGTTTGCATAGTTTTTCTTACTAAACTTATCAACACACGGTATTCTATATTGTAGGCCGGGCGAGCTTCGTTTCGTACCCGCCAAAACAGCCGTTCGACGTAATGCCGAATGGCTTGGCCGAAGTATCTGACGTAAATCGATAAATGCATTGTAAATATGTCCTTTAAGTTTTTTGATTGGATGCAACTTATTACTAGAAACACCTATTTTAAGGCAAAATAAGAGAAGTGCCCTATTAACGGTCTCGAAACCAAGCAGTCCTTCATTGCATTCAGACAAGCTGCTTATACTAATTTTATCTGACAGTACAGCTTTGACCAAACGCATATGAAGTGTAGACTGAGCTCGCTGAAGTGGAGGACCCAGAAGCCTGTCGCAGAACTTATTAAATAGCAGTGACCCTAGCACCAAGCATCGACTTGAGGAAAAATATTTTAGACGTTTGGCGTCAGTATCGTTGCGAACATGCTTTTGCATATGACCGCCGGAAGCGATTCAACGATACTAGAAATACTTGCTAAAATACTGTTCTTCAGAAAGCACAGCTTGTTGATAATTAAGGAAATATAATATAATAATGATAAAGCACAGAGATTGTGCTTAATGTTACCGCGACTCCTATTGACGACACGCTTATTGGTCATTTGTCTTCCAATTACCGATTAAAGTTGCAAATAATTGAATAAATAGCGCCATTAAAAGCTTGAGCAGAGTAATTGCGGGCCTGGCACCACAGACGTTAAAAAACGTCTGTGCTGAGTTTTCTTCACAAGACGACGTATATTGAATGAATTTATCTAGTTTGCAAGTTGCTGCTTTTTGGTTGTGGTTAGCTTCGTCTTATACTATACTAAGAATCACTTTATGCCGCTAACTTGAAGTATCCCTAATGAAAACGCAGCGCGAAAAGGAATACCTATAGTAAGAATTACGTAAAATACGGCTCATAGCGCTATGTAACAATCTACTCGGTCCATCAAGACAAACATAATACTAAGTTCCAACTTCCGTGAATGAACCGCGTGGATCGTAGAAGATGGATGGTTTTACTTTGTAATCGACTCAAACTTTCGCCAGGTCGTCTGTTCATTTCTAAAATGCAGTGATAGCTTATGTCTGCATATATGTAGTTTTCTCCATATTGTATGTGATATGTTCTAGACAGAATCAATGATCTTATACGGTTATTTAAATGCTAAATGTTCGTAGCATTCAAATGTAATCTTCAATCTTCGGCGCAATCGACGAACGTGTACAAATATCTTTGTAGATACATGATAAAATTATTCGAAATACTGTAGAGAACTTTTGGTTGGGTGCATATATATTGTAAGAAGGGTTGTCAGTAAGAAAAGAGTTTATATTCCAGCTTATAACTCTTCATTTCTTCTAACGGGAGATTATTACTTTTTTTTTCTGCTCTAGTACGCTAGGTTATAATGAAGTGCCTTAATTTAATGACTTATGTTAGCCTAAGCTAAATCTCTGGTTAACGCCGGAAGCGCTGGAATCAGGTCGTGTATCCTTTTCTGCCCTTTAGAAAAAGATCAAAACTACAGACTTCGTAGTGACTAAGAAACGTAGAGCTTTCGTAGTGAGATAGTTTATCAGGATGTAAAGGATGCGTAGCGAGAATAATAATATCTAATATCGTAAGTGAAGAAGTCGCAGATACTAGCGCTTAGAGGTGTGGTCGTCAACGATCACTGGATTTCGACAGTAACAAGAGACTTACATGAGCAACGCATTAAGCTAAAAACTTTTGTTGGATCTATCACCGGTCCGACGTCGATATTGGTCCTAGGCTTTGATAGGACGCTCCTATATCTTTCACACTAAGACTGTCCGTTATCGGTGAAATCAGTTCGTACCTACTTAAATAATTGATATCAGGTCACATAGTGTACTCCTTGCTTTGGGACGCTGACTCGAAAAAAGATCACTAAATATCTGATAGGGCTTTTATTTGTGTAATATAACTATCAGTACACATATAAACAACAGGGCCGCTGTGATTATAGAATTATTATGGCAGATGTTGTCCTTAATCTACTGTGGTAACTGATAATCACATTATTCTCCTATTAGACGTACTTATTAGTTAGGCAAGAAAGGTGATCCATTACGTAGGCATGAATAAAGGTGTTTGTCTTTAGCCTTTATGCTTTTAAGTTCTTCGGCGCGTTCATAGGCCATGTAGGTACACGTTCAAAACCCAAACGAAGAAATATAGGTTAAGAACAAACGCCTTGGAGCGTAACTATGTGAATTTACGTCGAATAAAAATTCATGGGTCAGTAAATTGTGCTCCCAAGCGTCTAAGCAAACATATTGATTTAAACAACTATCGTAATTTGAAGTGGTTTATCCGTTCTTTTGTATTTCACCCTGTTTGTCCGTACATTCAGCTAAAATATTTTTTTTTTTTGTAGAAAATAATGTAAAGTTAAAATCAAGAGCTTTGACCAATGCTAAGATAAGATACGCAAATGGCGATGGAAACGACTCTACTACTTGTGTGAAATAGAACTTTACTCAGAAGGAAGTAAATACATTTTGGGAAGCGATACAACGATTTAGATTTCTACACAACAAAAACCTTATAAACTGCGTTCATATGTATTATGTTGGGAAGCGTCCGCAATTACAAGTTGTAGACTTGTACAACAAAAAAAAAAAAAACTCTCTTTTTTGCTCAACTTATGTAGACAATGGGCAAAATAACCTGTACTATATACATCTAATAAAGTCTAAAGATATGGATAGCGTGGTTCTTAGACCCATGTGGGATACAGGAAGAGGATGCTGTGGAGTTGTTGACAAATGAGCGACAAGTACGACTAACCGACTATATCTCAGCCTTTCAATCAAACAGCTCCAAAGTCTAATGTATTTTAAAATTCTATCGTACGCTGCCTACCACTAAGTAAAAATTGGTTTTTCTGCCTTTACTAGTCAATATACTCGTTTTGTTGGTTTTAAAATAGCCACTATCTGTTTACTGACTCCCGTCTAATCGCAACAACGATTGACTCTTCAAAACCCATTCATGATTTAGAGCTTCTGGGTCAGAAAAATTGAAGACACTGTTTTACGCCGGTGTAACTTGGACGTATAATCATTGATTGAATTTTTTCATGTTATAGGAATAATTAGCTACCTTGTGTAAAATAAGTTCTGTGTATGCGAAGTGATGCGGGCTATTGTGCTCTGGTACACTGCTAAGTTTGTACATAGAGAGGCATGAAGGAGGAGTGCCTTAACGTATAAAGCTGATGCAACAATCAGTGTAACAAAGGCAGATTTAAATTTATTATAGGACATTTTTGTGTTCAGAAAAAGTTAAGGATGGCTCCACACTTATTAACAGAAAATAGTAATAAATACCACATGCGTATCAGAAGCTCACAGATCAGTCGCTCAAGGTACGATTCGTTCGCACTGCAACGATAGAAAAATCATGGCATTATTTACTTACGGGCTCAAAAACGTTTTCGCTGGATACATATCGAAATCTAATATTATAAATTAGAAAAAAAAAAAACGCCACTATGCAAAGTAAGCAAAGTCGACGTTAAGACAGCTAGGTATATCTACTACGGTTAGGCTATTGATAACTGAAGCACTACGACAGATAAACTTGCATTTGCTGGGTGACTCAATAATAATGTATTCGGATCTGCTTAATAACAGTCGTTATTAAGTCGTTAACAAATGATACTGGCTAGAGTCTATATAATAATAATGGCAGTAGTCAAAGCTTTATAGACTTCAAAAACAGTCTTATGTGGAGAGAATAATGAACCTGCAATGACAATCTGTATTGTTGTCAATGTACCGAAAGCTTCAAAGGTTCCGTGGACTTCATAGAAGTGGGATCAGCACGTTTATCTGTTCGTAAAGCACTTACATTTCTAACCTCACCTCGCTGTAAGCCTTTCTTCCCAGTTTTCAGGATTTCGACGACAACAACACAAATCACCAAAATCGGTTCGTTAACGCTATTCTATCCGCAGAGGACATCTTGCGTAACTCCTACATTGCCTCAAAAAGGCACACTGAATGCGTTCGAGTATGTCTGGTAGTTTCTGCGGTACAGGAAATACGGCTTTCTAGCAAGCTATTACCAAGGCTAATTAGTTCTATCATTTTCCACCACCAGAGAAGTAGTTTATTAAAACGGCAAGTTGTTGGTCGGAAAGGGATCTTGGAATGATGACAGTCCACACTTAGAAGGTCTCGTAACTCAATGGTGTGATCAAGTTCTATGTATACATCCTAATGTCGCATGTAAACCAGACGCAGAGGTCGCGTCTGGGACGCGGAGCGGGACCCTTATTGTTACTTCCGATCCTGACGTTAGCTATCTCTATAGACGGACGCATGTAAAGGTGGTAGTACGAACTAGAACAAAGCCTTTGTTACTACTGCGTCACGATAACTTTCACGACGAAAGACCGCCTTGACTTCTTTTGGACACGATTTAGGGATGATTTCACTGCAGCCCGAGAGCTTGTGCCACTGGTAATCGAACGAATCTTTTTACACTATAGTCGGGTGTTTCCCATCCACAGTCCGTCAAAAGAGCGTCATGGCTCCCTATGGATGGCTAATTACAGCAGTTCCTACGAACTAATTTACAGTTAGGCAGGCCGAGTGCTATTCAGGCTAAGCAGCTACGGATCAAGCTAGAAATGGTCATTAAGCGTGTATTTCATTTTGGTTAGGTTAGGTTAGGCGCGCTGCATTCAGAATTATGTGGCCTGTATTAAAGAGCACACAACACAACAACGAAAACAGGCCAAGTTGAATCTTCATGCCACTACTAGCTACATATTATTGTTTTTCTTTATTCAGTTACACCGATTGTGTAGTATATATGCCATTCACGTACGTTGGACCAATGACTCGGATTTCTTCTAGCTAAAGCCACCGCACCGACTACGTTGTTTATAGATAATTGGATGTGTTAGATAATTGGACAGAAACATTGCGTAGTGATAAAACTTCGGACGATTTGCAGAAGTGAGGTTTACGAAACTGCAAATTTTTTAAAGGATCGAAAAGGCTGTACTGGCAGTCATGTAACGGCATCGTGTTAACAATTTATTACAGCAGATAAATTAAGGAAGCAGAGTAATAAAAATAAGATGAATGCATTTGAAGAAGATACGGCTTTTATTGGCACTTTATGTACGTATGGTGTAGTGTGTATGTGAAGTTATAGAACGACCCAATCAACGATGTTCCAAGGGCACTACGATCACCAGATCTACCCGGGATTGGCGCTATTTGTTGAAACGAAACGTCCCCAGTTTCTACTAAACTGAAATAAATTTAGTTTAGATATAGATAACTAATCTTATAGGCAGCTGTCTGGAGGATCTTCAAGCACCTTAGATCTGCAGTATATTAGGGTTTTTACGCTGCTTTAAACGAACCTTTTTAAGATTATATTTTTAATGAAATCCGATAAAAAAAAAAAAAAAACAATGTATAGGTTCTACTTGATAGTACAGAATAAATAGATCGCTCTAATTAACGATTCTGACGAACACATGAACCTATATGCATACACATTAGTTGGTTTTTAAAGTTCGGTTTCCCTTTTCTCGTTATGTTGAAGCGTTCCACGACAGCTTTCCGCCGCCATAGACTTACTGGTATCGTTTTCTTCATGGGAATAACACTAATTACCACTTGTGCTCTAGGTGAGAGCCTTTAAAAACTTTCGAAACAATAGATTGTTCAATAAAATGGACTGGCAACTGGTCTGACTAATAGTCGGTTGTAAAAGAGAGCACCAAAAAAGGACACACAAGAACCTAAGGACAATTCAATTAGGGTAGGTTCTACAAAACACATTTCGTTGAGATGGGAGTGAATATTTTGAACTATCAATAGCTGGTTTAATGAGTTCTAATAGTAAAAAAACGAGCCTAATGATAAGGTGACAATAAAGGTGTTTCGAGATTTGTTTGGTTCTCAAATACTTGCGGCAATCAGATCCGATTTCCGACAGTAAAAGTGTGTCCTTAGACGAAATTCATTTTCTAAATATAATTACTAAATGGTTTCTGTCACATTAACGTGCGCATTGAAGAGACTGTGCAGGTAACAGTGTTTATCTAATTTTTACAAATCGATATCAACGCACGTTATCAGCTCGCCAAACGTCGATTATACGTAACTACAATTAGGGTCATGTTTATCGTTGGCTAACTTTCTTTTGTTACTTTCAGTCCACTCCATTCGTACAGAATCTTAAATGCGAAAATCCAATGGTAAACATACTACGACTGCTGCTGACGACGCAATTAGTCAGAGTTTATTTCATTTAGACATCTTTGTCTTTTGACCACTATTACGTCATATCTTGTTCGTACGTAAGCAGTAGCGTAGTTCCACCCGAGTGGAACGCTGCCGTGCAGTGGATTAGCGTGCATCGACAACGAAGTGTACCAAGCTCAGGCAGCGATGAGCGCCATTGCTGTTTTCATCTGGACAGCCTATTCCGTCTCTGCAGTCAATTGGGAACAAGGCGTATTTAATTGGACGAAAGGTGCGACCCAGGTAGAGGCTCACGAGTATCCATGGAAAGTGTCCATACAGGTACTTCAATCTTTATTCAACGCGTTTTTTTTTCTATTATTAATTACTGCTACTGATGAAGCTATTTGCCTATTTAACAGAAACATAGTTCGAGTGTACGATACAGAATTCGGTGAAAGACTCCAATTCATAGGTCTAGACGTCGATGTAAATCCGTCTAGGCAGTTGAAATCAGGCTTCCTGAACCTAGCGAATGAGGAGCCCGTTTCAAATTAATTTTGATGTCCATTATACCACTGACTTGTTCTGCTGGTGTTTGCTTTTTGCTTCGTTCGTACGAATCATAAAGACAAAGTTCAGCCTTTACCTTTGGTACATTTCGGAATCGCGATTGCGCTTCTGAATCAATTGGTGTTTGTTTGAAAACAACTGGACGCTCATGATATTTGTTGTAATCTACATACAATAAAAAAATATCTTTATTATAATACGTTATTGCTCTGCGAGAATCGTATACTATTAAAAAATAAGTTTAGTTTAGGCAGGCTACCGAACACTCGTTCCTCTTTATGTGCCTTCTTTATTAAACATGGATGATTGCTTGTGCGTTGCGCTAAGAAAAGTTGCTACGTTATGGGACCTTGTTTCCGTGATCGCCGTTCAGATTTTAAAGCTCTGTTTCGTATTCTGCAGCAGTCCGAAGAATACATTGCAAACGTCCCACAGATCCCAACAAAGCTGCTTGACAAATTAGTAAGTGAGATGTATTCTATGGTCCCCAAACCAGACGCTATCTGTTACCATCCAGAAATATGCGCTTGATGGTTTTTCGTCACTAGTGAACGCCCCGCCTCGAACGCGTTCATTTTAAACGCGGACTCCATAATTCACCTATACACGTTGAGCGAATAGGCAACCGCGTTTGTCGTATTTGCTAAAAGTACGTAAGCCTGCAATGGCAGCTTTGATTTAGGACGGCTTTAACAGCAGCTGCAAGAAAAACGCAATATAGTTCGAACGCACCTACTGGCAAAGGAACGTTTCCCTTTTTTAACTAAACAAAAACGTCTGCTAACCGCCACACTTTTGACGCTGAATTTGCGTTAAATAGCCTCATTCTACTCTACTGCCCCTCATGATCATTTTTCATCTTCACAATAAATACCAACAAATGAAGGTAGCAGCTGTACAAATATATATATATAAGGACGTCGAGACCTTAATATAAAAGCATTTTACGTAGAACGTGGGTTCGCTATCGTTATTTAACACAAGAATATCTTGAACAGTGCACACTATTATATCAGACTGAACACATCCACTTTGCGAGGAAATTTTTGTTAAAGAAGTGATTTTTTTCTTCAGCTTCTGCTTATCATATGTAATCAATGAGTGATATCTCCTGAGTTAAGTTGGGAAGCTGCTGAGGAATACCAGCTAGCCAAAATCTTGCTTTCCGTTTGTTATTATGATAATTATAACGCATAATAACAACAACAGCAAGTGTCTAATTTAATTTGTCGCGTTGCCGCAGAACAACGATTCGTCTGACGACGTTAATGTCGTGTAACAAATTTGCCCTTGAAATCAGAGGATATAGGGACGACTCTCCTTCTAAAGCGTCTTGGCAATTTTGTGACATCCTGATTTTGTAGTGATAGAAATAATAACAAAACGCATCTGTGTTTAATCAAACACAGATGCATTTTGTTTAGTCAAACTTGTACTGCTATCTATACGTGTGAACAACTTATAGATAGATGATCAGATCAGTTTCGGGCTCGGGACTGCTAACGTACCCTAAATGAAACGAGTGGAGAAGTCTTTTGGACGAAACAAAAGGATGACAGGTTTTTTACAATCACAAATCACAAGACACCGTATCTGATGTCGAATCATCTCGCACTAAGATGGGATTCGTTACCGCAAGCAGCGCTAGATGCCCATATATTCTCAGACGGATCCGAAGGACGGGAAGGTTTGCTGCAATCGAGGAGCCTTTTCGCGAAAGCAAACCGTAGAGTCTAAGGGCTTTGGTGGCCAAAATTGGGATTTCACATGTCAGGTGTTACAGAATGATAACTCAAATATTGAGAACGCGGAAATTGAGTAAACAATTGGTTCTCCGTGAATTCCAGGCCAGTCGAAGGCGGCTATGGTATATTTCATGTGCAATTTGTGGAACTTTAATCAACGAAGAATCCGCTTAAAGCCCGCAGTTGCCATAGACGAGACACTGTTCAGTCTTTAAGGCCAACTAGATAAGGATCAAGGGAGAGAATGGCGTCGCCTTGGGAAGGTATGGAGTACGGTGACAATGTCGAGTAAGTTCGGACGTAAGGTGCTAGCAGTACCTGCAATGGACACAAAGGACATCTGCTAATATAGGTTACTCGCCGAAAGTTAAGCAATGAATGCAGCCTCTACCTTAAATTCTTTGAGATTCATGAACCGTTGGCACGGCAACAGAAAGCACGCAGTTTGCTTATTTGATGACAACCCCAGTTTAATTAAACCCCAGAATTAAACAAAAAAGATATCCAACGTTAGGTGAAGCCCACTTATTCTCCCGATCCAAGTTTGTGATTACGGGGCTTTCGATAACTTAAAAAGGTCAACTGATGATCTTACTACGAATTTACTATAGGTACGCTTGGGAAGTAAAAAAAAATAAAGCAAGGTACCTTTAACACACATTAAAAAATTATCATTCTACCATAACTAGCCGAAGTTTGCTTGTAACGGCCATATACATGTTCATACAGATAAAATTTATATACTGAGTATTAGAGAAATGAACACGTCTAATTTGTCAACGATCTAAGAAAAGCTGCAAATTGAACTGCGCGGACGACATCGTTCTGAAGGATGTACAAAAGTTTTCAACAATTGTCCACGAGTCTATTTTCTTAATTTTTAAGTAATGACAGATAAAATATTGCAGAGACAGCGAGTGAATCTTAGTAATCTTAGTAAGCCTCTAAATTCTGACAAGAGATTAATATATTGCGACTCTAATGTAACTATAAGCTTTGCCTGTTAATAGTAGTTGGATTATAGATGTAGCTGGATCGAGAAGACATCAAGCGTTCCTACAGACAGATGTTTAGCTAATTTTCTCTTTTGCCAAACTAACCTCCGACATTTCTCTATACATACGAATCAAGAATGCATGTACTGGAACTGATTGGGTAACGGCGAAAGGCCGGCTCTTTTTTAAAACATCGTTCAACTCATGTAATATCTACTTTTTAACTTGTGAATACAAACGTGCATTGAGCGGTAAAGTTGGTTTTCGGTGATGAAGGCGTTGACCTGACACCGATATCTCTAGAAACACATTGGTACCGAAAGCGATGTAAACGATGCCATGGCAACAACAATTTTCCACTCGCAAAGGTCACCTATTAATCAGCCCCTCGCGCGAGACAAATGCAAGTTCTTCGCTCACCTCAGATCGACGATGGAGCGCATTACGGACAATTATCCAATTTCAGATGTAGCAGCAGCAGATTTTAGCACCGTCAAACGGAAAATCCGTGGCAGACAAAACAGTGCGGACCACGAAGGCGATTGATGCTACCCATGTGACTATATTTGCGTAATCACTGATGGTTTATGAAAACCTCACATGTAGCATATCATAGTCAAATAAATAATCTCTAAGGTCAAGGCGAAGGGATGTAATTGGTATCGTTTGTTTATCAATTTTGAGCAACATTTTCCTGACAAAAAATTCTCGTCGTTAGAAGAAAGTGCAAAAACAATGGCTGGCGTACTCACAATGAAAAGCGCGCACGAAATCGAGCGCGGCGTCTAGTGAAAAGAACGGCATGCCACTATACAATGGCTTCATCCGCATGATACAGACTATTGTTTATAATAATAATGTGTTAAAAAATGTAGGCCATACGTGTAGGTGATCAAGGAGATATTTGAAACGAATCTGTGAGCCGTTAAAGCTATAATCGAGGTGAACGGAGGCGACATTGGATAGCGGAAGCGATTTTATTGATATAAGTGTCTAACCAGCTTTTCAACATCGTCATAAGTAGTACACCGGCCTAAGCTGCTCACGCGAAGGCATTACATAAACTTGTTACTTAGGAAAATTTAAGGGTCCAGTGATTCTAACGCGTTTACTTCGTTCCTTTTTTTGTGTCTGAGCCATGACTTTTTGATTGATGGATGGATGGATGGATGGATGGATGGATGGCCTGACAAAATCACTCCAAGAGTTCAACAACTCGAATGCTCAGCTTGGTAGGCTTTCGTAAGGCTAGAATTACGGAAGCTAGAGGAAGCGTTGTGCAATCATTATACAACATTGATTCTACAATCATTATATAACAGGGTACAGCCGCGTATTAACAGGTCGAACCATATGTGAACGGAGCCTTTTTCTGCGCGCGTGCATTGGGCCACCCGTCTACAAATAGCTGACGAATTAAGTATTAATCTACTGTATTTTATTTATCTTTGTTTACTACATGTACAGGTTCAGCTGTTTATAAATAAACAGCTGAACCTGTTTCAATAGACACGATTTAAATCCAATTAAATTATTGCTACGTCATGAAGGACCAATACAAACTGGAATACAATGCTGTAAATAATATCGTAACATAGGCGTAAAATTGAACAGCAATTTCTATGCTAGTTAGCTCGTGTGTCCTGACTTAAATTAACTTACTCAGAATAGTCGGGATGAATTGCAATTTAGTTCTATAGGTAAGTGAATATTCTTTTTAGCAACGGTGTTTCCCTAATATCGGATAAAGTTTACTTTCGTTTGCCAAGCGCTGAAGGTCGATAAAAGGTTTGTACTGAAAGTCTGTTGGCGTTTGCACGCTCGACAGCAGGGGCAGGGCGGTCAATCTTCGAAAAGGTATTTCGGAGGAAACAAAATAATGCTTTTTTGTTTTCGATGACAGTTAATAACATCTCAAGCCGAAAAACAAAATGTCTATCGATCAGAGTTTCAGACAAAAATAATCGTTACAGAAGTGAACTAAGTAATTTCGCTGTTCTTCTTCTTCTTCAGAAGAAGAAGAAATCTTTTTCAAGAAATTTCAAAGTACTTAGCTAATAATTTAACGTGAGCTAGTAGAATATTGATTAGGGCTAGGTAAAAAGACTAGGACCTCTATGCATGTTTATATGACGTATGAAACTTTTATAATTTTTGACGAAAATTCTGATCGGAGACTACTTGCTCAAGTTCTAAGAGCGAGTAGAAAGATACAGAGGTATTATTATACACTATAGTACTATAAAAAAAAAAATAGCGAGCGTTGCGGCTTTTAGGCCAAGCGTACAAGTTCTTATGTACTGCGATCCTCGCAGTAACTTCCGCTGAAATGTTTCTCCAGCCCCAACTATCCGCTTGAACCTTATCAAAAAGCGTTCTGTCCTAGTGCCATTTAGGCGTATTTGTCTAATCATTTGCGTATCGTGCTCGATCCTTTGAGTGAAATCTCTGCGTCATACGCACTGATATGACAGCAGCAGGAGACTAGTCCTGCATCTTAAGATCATGCCCTTATCCCTCGTTAAACCTGTATTATGAGCGAACAGGAAAAGTGTATCATACATGTACAGGTTAGAATCTTCAAGGGCAAACAATTCTTATTATCTATTTAGTTTTTTTGTGCAGCAGCAAATATCATTTTAACTAAGTACACTTAGATAGCACACTTGATTTGGGTAACTTTTCCAAGGCAATCGTCTACAGAGATCTCAGTGCCTAAAATAAAACACAGCGAATTTTGACGTGAATTGCTAAAGATTAAAGTTACATATGTTGACGATTGCGTTATCGATCATTGAGCGTACTTTCCGACCGTTAGCGCGGACTCCGATATGTACATTGCCAAATACATACCTCCTGAAGTGCAGAGCGTAAGCGCAAAGCAGGTCCTTCTTTTTGAGCCAAGATACAGACCTCTGTGCCTATATCTAAAATTTAACTAGTGTCCAAGTCATAATCAGAAGTGATATCCTGCCAGAACCTGGTTAGGCAGGTTACGATTTCTCTATATACTTTTTGTTATTACGTTAGTTTGTTCGCTTGCGTAACCGCTTCATTATTACTACAGCTTAGTTTTACATTGTGTTGCAGGCAAATTATAGGCCAAAACAACAGGCATTCGATTGGGGCCATGAGTTCATGGGCGCAATCCTCAACCACCGCTGGGTTGTGACAGGAGGGGTAAACATAGTTCATAAATGTGTTAAATATTCACGCTGCAGAATTATTGCCGGGACTACCAACGTTTCCGTAAATACTCGCCACGGAACGGTGATAAACGTTGAAAAGGTGTACCCTCATTACACAAGTCGTCCGAACAGTACCGGGGTTGGTTTTCATGTGTATTTCTATATATGTATACATACATGTATATATGAGCGTGTGTGTATGCGTTAGATCACGTGCCAGTTGTCATTACGCTTTTCAAAAAGGATCTTCGGGATTATCTGGAGTATACCATTTACGTGACGTAAGACTTATTAGTAGTATTTTAAAAGGTAAAATATCCTGCAGCGACGAATAAGCTAGGTCTCTACTGACATGCCTTATGGTGCCTATAACTTCAGACCCCTTATTTCAGTCATTTTTTACTTCTGTTCTTAGAGACAACTAAGTGTCGAGCCAAATTTTAGACTTCTGCGACAAAAAGCGACAATAAGTTCCTACGATACGTGCTGCACCTGCTCATTGCTTTCAAACAAAATATGAAAAAATCAGGAAGGTTAATAACGCTGATCACCCTTTAAGATGAATTAAGTAAGATACGCTTTTAGGTTCGTATCTTATGATTCGGTAAGTGTGGCTTGCCTTTCAGGATTTTAACAATCCATAGGTAATAAAATTACTGCAATAAATGTAAAAATTAGTATAAGAGCAGTTATCGATAGTGCTCTACTTTGTCGACCAAGCAAGCACAAGCTCGCACCGGCATTTTAAAATAGAATGTATTAAATTTCTTGATCCATCTGTGAAAATTTGAAGTGACCAGATAAGTTCCTTGAGTAACGTTTGGTTCCGTAACACTAACTTATGTTTGCTTTATCCTTTGTGCTGTGTAGGGTGATATCGCTCTAATCAGAACCCTCGAAAACATTCCTATTGAGTCTCCTACAATAGGCATTATTTGCTTATTGCCTCCAACAAGCCAAGACGACACAGCATTGGTTGGAAAATCGTGCTTTACCATTACGTGGGGTAAATGGAAGACAAAACTTCGCGATGACATACTTTTCAAGATAGACCTGAAGGTTGTTCCCCAGTACGTTCATTTTTGGTTTATTCTTTCTCAGTTATAGTTATCTGACAAATGAAAATTTACCATAGTCTTGAAAAATTACATACCAATACAAATCACTTCTATGACCAATACTGAATTATATATTCTACTGTAATAGCTGTACGGAAGTATTCTATAAGCTAAATTGGAAAGATTTCAGCTATGTGGGTTCCAAGGTCCTGGATTAGCAGTACAACAGACAAAAGTACTTTAATTCTCAGTTTTACCACTTTTCGCATGTGTGTTGTTTATAGTATGGATTGCACGCGTAATATCCCTGGACTACCCAGAACGAATTTATGCGGATCCCGCACTGACGCGGGAAAAGATAAACCGGCCTACACGTGTACTTTGGGTACCGGCGCACCGCTCGTATGTAATATCAATGGCGTTTATAGCCTGATCGGTTTATCTTCATTTGGCGGTATCGACTGTATGCTTCGAGAACAGCCCTTTGTCTTTGTAAGGACGCAAGACTTTTATACCTGGATGAACGAAGCTATAGAAATTCACAACTATCAAGAGCAGGAAATAGAATTGGAACCAGAGGATAGAAAGAAAAGACGCTATTAATTAAAATGTGACACAAGTACGCCACGAGCATTAAATTATGGTTAGTATAGCGTTACGACGGTAATATATTTATGTATGCTTAATAAAGTTAATGTAATTTCACGTTTAATGTTAGTAGAAATTTTAGCCTCGAGTTATTCCTCCGAAGATGAAGAAAGCACGTCTGCGAAAGTCACACAGGACTGCGCATTTAAAATCCGAACTTCAAAGAACTCACTTTGATGTACGAAGCAGAGTGAGTGAGGCCTGCGGAAATAGTTACGAAGTGACCCTCTTATGTCGGATGATGAGGAAAGATCTGAAATATTAAATGGAATTACAAATGGTTTTATCGTTGCCCTATATGTGTTTTAGAGCGAAAAGACTTGGTGACCCATTGTCTTAGAATATATTTTCGACTTTCGAGTTCTAGTGCTGACGTCGATCATTGTTGCAGACGGCTGACTGCCAGGACGAAACGAAGTGTGTGTATGTGCATCTGGTTTGTCTCAGGATATCTGTTATGTTGTATGTAGGCATTATATATGTAATATTAAATGTGTCTCAGAATAGCTTAAGTGACTGAGCATCTTTGTCTAATGTCACTCATAAATATGAAGTTTGTGGCTTAATACGGGCGGTGGCAAACAATCTTTTTTCTTCTTGGAAACAATTACTCGGGTGAGAGTTGCATCAAATAAACTGAGGGCATTATCGAAAGATAGCCTCATGGGCTTGTACAAAATGACCGTACAGATATTTCATAGAGTGACTTCGTGTATGTATAGAAATAAGATTGCGGTTACAACGTCGTCATTACGTGTTGGACAAAATTATTCCTACACTGAACGAGCTCGTTGAACAATTGTAGATGTGCGGGTGTATCATTTGCGTTTTGCTTGCCGCTTTCACACAGTGGAAATCTTCCTCGGCTTAAAAGGAACGGCCCGATTAAGGTTGTGTTTGGCTGAATTCGAAAAGGGCGAAAGCGACATTGAGATTCAATGCAAAACGCCTCTGTGGTTGGTGTCATGAGATGAGGTATCCGAGAATCATAATGTATATGCTTCAACCTCACTTTCAGTTTTAAGTTTTTTATACTCCAATAAAATTCAATGCTTGTCGAAAAACTTGTATGACACATGATGAGCGTTTATCTCATAACAAAAAGTGAACATGCCCAGTGTTGTTAAGAAACATGCACAATGATGGCAGTTTTATATTCAGCAAAGAAACGAGAAATACAATGGATTATTTTTCCAGTGTAAACACTAATAAAAGATTCGCTTGAGGCTAATTTGAGGTGCATCTAATAGTTTACCGGCATCGGCAAAATGCCTCCCTCTAATTGTCCCCACGTTTTTGTTCTCCTCGCAGCAAACAAACATCATGAACAAAAAATCATCGTATAATCATTGGGCTTTTCTTAGATAGCGCATATATGGTGTTTGAAACCTATTCTGAGTAATCCTTTATATATGTATATATATGCGACGATAAGAACAAAAACGTGAGGACAATGTACATATATAATCCGTAGCCCAGCACTTCAAACTTTTTGATAAGCTGTGCTATTATTGCTTTGTTCGATTATTATAATTTTTATTCTAATATTTCAATTAGTCTTCTATTAAATAACAAATCTTTTTTATTCGCGGACGACTCTAAGCTTCTACCGCCCGTACATTGAACCCGCTTTGACTTGAATAATGGTAGCATGGGGCTCGCGTCGGAAGAGACTTACGACATTACTTAGTGCATTTCAGTCGTCCACCGAAACCTGCGAAGGGCAAGTTCACCTGGCAGAGCGTCAGTCTAAGTGTGCGTATGTCATGACTATCAGGTCTGTGAATCTAGCCGGACTTATCTAGATTTTCTGCAATAGATCTATGAAATCAAATGGAACACCACAGCCACCGTGTTCCAACGATGATGGACGCACGTTTATGGTTTACACTATGACGCACGCAACGAGCTACTCGTGAGATACTTAAATCAAGCCGCCCCTAGTAAAAATAACTATAATACGCTTAATATCACGATAAAAGGCCATAAAACGACATACACAGATTACTGGCGAGAGTTGCAGCAAAATAGCTGTAGATTCCTGCACGCCTTACGTTAGTTTTTGCTAGATTATTTTTTTCATTTAAAACCTACTATGGGCACGTTCTCCTCATTTCCGTTTAGTACTGCCATCGTTTTGCTTTATTAATGGAAGTACATCGTCGTACCTTTACAGATTTAGCTTCTTTTGCATTTTTACTGTGGCATCACGAAACACTTGCATTGCCTCGTTAGCCTTCGTATGGCTGGCTGTAGCTGCAGTTTCGGTTGCATCGAAAACATTTTAAAGAGTCGTTGTCAATGGCCCGTTTCGAATACAGATTGAAAAATTAAAATATTTATAATCGAATGATTTACTATTTATTGTTTACCGTAAGAGAATCCCGTTATTTTAAGTTTTTAGCAACTCCATAACGTCAATGCTTCAGCCATTCTCTATCGATTAGGCCTTGGCAGTTTGAATTCTTGTTTATGCGTTTAGCAGTTTAGATGCCATAGAACCAAAAGCAAACGAATGGTTTTAGGGTCTGAAATAGGCTTCGAGCTGAACCATCATCCTTAAGTAAGATTCCGAAGGTCAGAATTACGCCTGTTTTTTGCAGCTCCCTACTTTTGAAATCGCCGTCTTGTCCGGTCTTCATAACTGCTGAAATGTCAACTTTATGCAAATCATTTAGAACATTATAAACAGCGCATCCACTAACCCAGAACGTTCGGAAGAAGATGACCCTTCTCAGCATCAATGCTCGCCGCTATCTAATTCAGTTCACCTAAACGCACCTATATATTGTAGATTAATTTCTATGCGATATAACTTTCGTTGGCCAGCAATTTTTAAAGCTTCTTTCGTGTGTGGCCGCTGCTTCATTACCACGTTTTGTTTGTTCTAAGCTGGCGGGCAATACATTAAATATGACCGCCTAACTTTCCTTCAATATAGCAGATTGTTGTTGTTGAGGAAATGTGACGTAGAAAAAGCAATTGCATTCAGTGATTACTAAATTATAAATGGTGACCGCTCCTCTTCGTGTCCAGAGACAGTGATAATAGATGCTGAGGTTCAAAGTTAGATGATATCATGAATATGACCATTACAAAGTCCAGAGAAGTTATAGCGCGAGGCGGTAAGTGATTATTTCTAAAAGCAATGTTGGGGACGGCACGACGTCTCGTTGAAACACTGATATATTACCGAAGTCCATTGTTTTTCTGGATGGGTCAATATTGTTAGAATCATTATTGCTGTTTGAGAAGAGCAGGTCCACTCGGTTCCATTTTATCTTGCCTTAGTTTAGATCTTCAGCGAAAACTGCTATCTATGAGCATGAGCTGATTCTTGAAATCAGTGCTAGTTTATCGATTTGGTTACTACGGTACTTCTGGAGGTTCGAAACTTCGAAACACCTCAAACTTAGCCTTGCCTGATAATTTTGCAAATAGCTTGATATCCCTAAATTAGATCTCGGTGATTAATGCTAATTCAATTCCTTTAGGATTTATAAGTGCATTCTCAGCAATCTGAACCCATTCATGCACTACTTTTTTTTTCTTTAATATTTATTGGTCTTTTATTATTTACAATAGGTATCCAAATTACTATTTGGCATTCCACTGCGATGGTCAAGTGCTATGACCCCCCCCCCCCCAAACCTCCAAATTTGAAAGACTGATTTACCGCTTCAGAACTTAATTACGCGCTTTTTTCGCACGTATGTACTCATAGCGAGGGCCGATTGGTTTGTCTTGTTTCTGGGTATTATTGGATAGGAACCAAATTAGTACGTACAATGCGGATTCTGTTAAGAGTTCCAGCAGCATAAATCTGTTTCATCCCATCATGAGCTGTGCAAGTTAACTTTGATCTAAAACAGTACGTTTCCTTTACGACACAAAGTAGATAATATAATAAAAGGCGAATAAAAAAAGACAATTCATCTCCTCAACTTCACATCCAAATACCTGTAATTAAGAAAAAGTGCTTCTGCTTGGAAAAACCGTGTTACTATTTACCTAGAAGTTCGAGTAAAGCCAGTAAAAATAGCGGTAAAGTTTTAGAAAATGTAAGCGAAAGTGCTTCATCGTGCATGAAAGCGTAATAAGCTGATTGTTTGCTAGAAAAGAAACTGAATGTTCCGCCGGCCGGTTCGATATTCCGTACAAACGGATAGCTCTGCTAGATTCATCTTTAACGAAATCCTACCTGTCGGTTCTTTGAGACCGTCGAACGCCTGAAGGTGAGACACTCCGTCTTACAAACAGGGTCGGACAAGAATCTCTACGTATAGTAAACCGTCAAACTGTCAGAAGACCCCTGTCCCACTTCGTATAATTTCTTGCTTTGCGCGGATGTCAAAATATGCTTTTAGACAAAAACTGTGGCACTGAGCACGAGCTAAATTTCCATCTGCTATTCGTCTTTGATTTACTACTACGGTAAACACTGAACATAAAGGGCTTGGCAGCCATTAAATTTACCGCTCTTCGATAAAGCGAGAAGCATCAATGCTGCACACACGTTCCTTTCGTAACAGCACCTCATTAATAGCGTCTCACCTAATGAAACTAACAAGATGACCGGCTTAAGTATACCTGTTTATGAGTGTGGAATTTTTAACAAAAGCTTCTATGCCACAATATGATAGCTCTGCATTTCGAGTTTTATGCCCCAAGGCATTCGATCAGACGGCTGGCTTCCAGTACAAACCAAGTCTGTCTGTCTGTCTATGCTCTGCGGGTTCAAACCTAGACCACACAAACGAATAATTACTTGTACGAAACAGTTGTTGAATGAATATTTGCAGAAATTGAATGATGGATGCTCATTTGTGAACAGGCATTCAATATAGTCATAGCAAAGCAAACTCCTGCATTGCATAGTCGGCTGAAATTACTGTCTTAATTAATCACCGAACTATAACTTAAAAGATAGTTTTGCGCGTCGCCTGAATAACTAGCAATAATATAGATTTATAAGGTTTCCGCAACATGTAACACTAAAACTTACTTTCTGAGCCGTACGAAAGGCAGGGAAAAAAAAGAGCATTTGTGTACGAATAAATCAACACAGTAAGAAAATTAAC